GGAGGGGGTGAAGGGCGCACAGGTAATGGGGAAAAAATAAGAACCAAGATACATTATGTACAGGTACAAGCACCCAATGATAAATGTAAATGTATTGTATACCTAAAATGTACCAATAAAGGAATTTAAAAGAAAAAAAAAAGTGTCTGGTGCCAATATTAACTGGACCATGATATAGGCCATGTTAAATTCTATTTAGAAGAGTGTCTGGCACATAATAATCATGGTGTCAGATAAATAGATCTCTTTCATAGGATTGTTGTGGGATTTTAAAGAAACAGCATCTGAAAACAGCATGTTTCTGTGCTTAGTGAATGTTTAGGACCTCTCCTTGTGAGGAAGACATATTTTAAAAACAAGGATCCTCCATCTTTTAGTCCTTTGTCTGACATTGTCCCCCACCCTCCTAGCTGTGCTTTGAGTCAACCCCATTCTGGGTATTCCAGCTCCATCCTCCCTGTGCTGCCTCAGGTCGGCATGCCCTGGGTGTGGGCAGCACATGGTATGCATTCCAACGTACTTTGTTGTTCATGAGCCAAGGATCCTGAGAACAACAGAAGTCACTGTGGGATGGGGGTGGGAAGGAGTGCTTTGGCCACTAAGTGACCTTGGCCAGGCCCCTGTGAGTCTCTGGCCCAAATCCTCATCTGTAAGGGAGGATGATATTCTTACTCTTCGTGGTTACACAGCTGCTGTGAGCATGAAATGAATTTAGTGCTTGCACAAAGGTAAAATTATGTTGTAATTATGTAGCCAAAGGAGGGATTTTTCTGAGACAAAACCCCAAAGAGTCCAGGAAGCCAGATCCAGGCCAGCTGGTGAGGAAAGTCTTCTCAGAAGTTTGTTTTGTTTCATCTGTGTGTCCCAGATCACAGCCTTCTGTGTAATCATTCATCAACCTGGCCCTGGCTGCAAGAAAGAATGCAAGCAGGCCTGAATGCTTTAGGGAAGCCAAATTTGGACATGTGTTAGGAGCTTGGCTAATGTGGGGTGGGGGGTATCGAATGAAAGTGGCCAGGGACTGGTGAGGGAAGGTCTGCGCTCTTCACTGCCTGGTTGTGTCACTGATGATTGGAAGTCAGAGTTCCAGCCAGTCTCCTTCCCAGGCTTGAGGCATCACTATGGACACAGACAATATACTTCCTTTCTCTACAGTGAGCTCTAGGCCGTGAGGATGGCGGGGGGGAAACTCCTCCGACAGACCCATGAGGCTAAAATAATGACAGGAGAAAAGCCCACCCCAGCAGTACTTCCTGTGGATAATGCATTCCTAGGGTTCAAAAGTGTTTCCCATTCATTATTCATTTTTTCCTTTCTCCTACTGGAGTTCAGAGTCTGGCGAGGGGTGGAAAGTGGTGGGCTGGAGGTGGATGTACTGAATGGTTGCAGGGGATGTGGTCAGGGAAGGCAGAGGGAAATCTGGTCAGGCTGAGTGGACACCAGAGGAGACAAAGCCCCAGAAAACAACGACTGCCGAGGATGAGTGTGCACTGTGCACTGCACAGCTTAGGATGGTGCCATTCACAAAGGCTGTTCGGCCCTCCCCTTGGGGGGCTGTGAATGGGGAAGTGCCCTGGAGCAGAAGGCAGCCACCTAACACACAAGGTGCCTGTCTTCTCTCCCTGGCAATAACATCCTCCCTCCCCTCAGCCAGGGGATATTTACATTGTGAATGGTGCCCCCTGGAGTGGTGAAAATGAAGCACAGAGCTTAGAGCCGGGCAGCTAAGCTAGTCTGCCCAGACATGAGGATGTAGAGAGGAAGCATGAAAACACCCTTGTCCTTTCTCCTGGAAACACCTTGCTAAATCTCATTTCCGGAGGCTACTGTGGGAAACTGGTAGAAAATAAGTCAAAGCAGCATGTTAGGAACAAAGCACAGCAAGAGTGGCTCCTAGACCCCTCCAGTGCACAATGCTTTTCATGCCATAGATTCATTCAGCAACTCCACTAGCTCCTTCCTTGGTCAACAAAGATAGACAGAAGCCTGGAATCCCACACCCAGCAGTGGGTGCATCTAATATAACACATTTGTGTGTGTGTGTTGTGGTGGACTCAAGCCTGTGCTCTCAGAGCATGGCCAATATCCCACAGGCTCTAGGGTGGCATATATCTGGGAGCATATGTACACATGGTGTCAGGGAGCAGATGTACCCCAGAACTGGTGAAACTGAAAGGCAAGGTCTGTGCTGGCTGATGGTCAACTAGAAGTCAGACTTCTTGGAAGAAGAGGTGTGGCTTGTAATGGAGGATGAGAAGGGAACCCACAGAAAGCATGAGGAGACAAGAGACTCAAACTCTTCTCCCCAACCATGGCTCCAAGGTAAAAAACCTGCTATGTAGACCTCAGCGCTAGCTTGACAGTAAGGGAGTCCTAGGGAAGCAGACAGGTCCTACATCTTACTTCCTGGAGGAAAAGGCCAGGTACAATCCCTGTGAAGAGGTTCTTGGTGGAAGTCTCAGTCTGATGAGAAGGCAGGCTACCCTGCTTAAGGTGGCTCAATTCAATGATGGAGACCAGATACCACCCAGTCTGGTGGGGGCGGGGAAGAGAGTTGGTGCTGGTGACACGTGCCCAGCAGCTAAATTTCCCCCATCTTGAGCCCAAAGCAAGGGAAGGATTCCTGAAGGGATAGGCTTTCCTCCACCCTCAGTGGCAGCCAGCCTGCCAGGCCAGCCTCTGGTAATGAGCAAGGGCTGAGGATAGCAGCCAGAGCAGGCCGGGTAGGAAGAGCTGGGTTATAAATAGGTCTGGGAACAGGCCTTCCGGGGAGAGTAGGGGTGCCTTACGGTTCAGGGCTGTAGCGCCCGCAAGGCAGAGAGAAGAGAGCCGCTGATCCCACCTTCCTGACCTACCTCAATGTCTCCGGGAGCTCAGCTTCCAGGCCCTGTAGAAGCGCGCTCAACAACCACTCTCACACAGCCTCAGTTTCCCTCTGAGTCACTCCTCCTCGAAAATGTCTATCTTTGAAGCAACACTCAACCGCCATCCGGCCGGGCCGGGCTGTCTGGTCTCCCAGCTCTAGCCGCTCTCCAGAGTAGAGAGCCCTTGAGTCTCCACCCCGACCCCCACTGGGGTCTCTGGCCCCTCCTACCTGCAAACACAACGGAGCAGTAGGCATCACTGATATCGGTGTCCGGGGTGTAGACGTTCTCCGCATAGAGGATGAAGAGCCGCAGCATGACTGGCGCTCTAGGGCTCAGCGTGCCCGGGAGCACAGAGGACTGGGAAGGGACTCCAAGGGCCGAGGCGCAGTTCGTGGGTCTCCTCCCTGGAGAGGGCTCTCTGGCTCCCAGGCTCAGAGCTGCTTGCTGCTCTTAAAGGGGAATAGACCAGCCCTGGGCTGCTCCAGGAGCCTAGGCTCTGCCCCCGCCTCTGGCCGCGCTCAACGCCGGTAAGCGGGCGGCGCAAAAACAGGGGCTTCTGCTCATTTTCCACCCCCACAGACCTACTCGGGATCCATGGAGATGTAATCTAACGCTGCGGCCGGCCGCGGGCTTTTCCAATGACACGGCACTTTGCACCTGGCCGTGGAACAGCCGACTGGGCGGCGGCCGCGATGGCCCGGGGACTGGACACGACACTGGCAACCCAACGTACCCCACATCCCTCCCCCGGACAGCAGGAATGCTCGGCCCCTTTCCTGACCTTCCACCTCCAGCCCAGGGCTGCGCCAGGCCGGTCCTGCCGCAGGGATTCGGTAATTCTCTTTCCAGAAGGCGGCTTTACTGCCCTCGGGTAGGACAGGAGATCCCGGTATAGGGCTGGGGAGCAGGCCCAGGTACAATGCGTTCCCTAGGAGGTTAGAACTTCATTGAGGCGCAGCTCCACCGACTTAAAAACTTTACCTCCCCTTTTCTGGTAGTAAAGGTAACACATGCTAATTTTAGAACAGAAGCATGAAAAAAGAAATCTGATTCTTTTTTAAAAAAATTAACATTTGAATATTTACCAATCCGGGTTTTTCTGTCTGAATGCATGTCAGTTAGAGTATTCTTTGTTTTTGTATTTGAGTTCAGAGGACATATGCTTTTTTGCTTTTGTTCAGTGCTGAGGATGGAACCCAGGGCATGCTAGGCATCCCCAGCCCTATGTCCCACTTTTTCACAGCAACTTTTTCTTGCATCATTAAACTTTTCCATGAACAACTTTTTCAGTTGCTACAAATTTGCTGTCGTATAAATGTACTAGATTCCCACTTTCTCCAATTGCTACACATTTCAGGCTCTTCCTAAAATCTATTATAATAGTGAGAAATATTTTTAAAAAGTAATTAAAACTGATATATAAACCCCTGTTGAGCCCCCCTCTACTACATGGTTCCTCATATTGGATTCCTAGCCTTGGAATTATAAGGTTACAGGCCATGACTTTTTTAGGTTCTAGAACCTGTTGCTAAACTGCCTTCCCAGAGCTGTGTAGATCCACACCCCCAGCAGCCTGTGACTCACCTTCTAAAGAGAGCCAGTTAGATGGCAAAACTTTTTTCAGAGCAGTCCATGGAGGCAACAGATACACATGGGGCGGGAAAGGCCAGCTATTGATAGGGGACAGTTTTACTTCATTTGGAGATTCTAGTACTATTCCCCCAAAGGTCTGTAATTTCAAGATCAGAATAGCAAACATTTCCTGTGGTCACTTATGATCCTCTCCAGCAGTCTGTGCTTCTTCCTTTTCTTTTCCTCTAGTACAATATATGGTGGTTGGGAGAGCCAAAGAGGAGTTGAAATTTGATCAAGTATAAAGTTCTATGACAAGCTAGACTCTACTGAGTGATGGGGATGCAATGGTGAGCAGAAGTGACATGGTCCCTGTTGTGGGCTAACTTGTGTCCCTCCCAAGATGTATTTTAAAATTTAACCCTTAGTACATTGGAATGTGACTGATTTGGAGATAAGGCCTTTAAAGAAGTGATTAAGGGCCGGGGATTTTGCTCAGTGGCTCTATACCTGCCGTGCAAGCAAAAGGTCCTGAGTTTGATCCCTGGCACCAAAAAAAATAAAAGTCATTGAGTTAAAATGAGGCCATTAGAATGGACGCTGTTACAATCTGACTAGCATCCTTACATGGACACACAAGATAAAGCACAGATGTAGGGACACACAGAAACGGCCATGTGAGGACACAGCAAAAAGCTAACCATCTGCAAGCAAAGGAGAGAAGCCTTCGAAGAAACCACACCTGCCCACCAACAAATTGATCTCAGACTTCTAAATGGTAAGAAACAATTTTTTCTTATTTAAGTCACCTAGTCTGTGGTATTTCATTATGACAGCCCTAGTAAATTTATACAGTCCCAAGAACTTCCACTTTGGTGGGGGAAACTGACTACTGGACGATCAAGCCAATCATACCATGTACAAATCTATACATGCAATTAAGGTTAGAAAATGAGGAAGTATGAGAGGAGACAGCAGGGAGATCTTGTCTAGTTGACTCCCAGACGGTGAGCTATTAGACATGGCATCTAAAGGTCAATTAGAAGTTTGCAGGGCAAGATTGAAGTGGGCACAGAGAGAGTGTCCCTGGGAGGAGTGGAGGACAGGACACAGTGATTGGAGTATAGATTAAGGAGTGGTGGGATGAGGGAGGTATACTGAAAACCTGTAGGCCTGTGGGAAGCTGACTAAAGCCTGCTTAATCCAGCCAGTGGCAGGATTCCATCTACTTCTCAAAAGCTCCCTCTGGCTGTCTTTTGGAGAAGTGGAAAGGGCCAGAATGGAGGTGAGCGAGAAGCTTCAGCAGTGTCAAGGTGAGCAATGATGGGGACTTGGACAAAGGCTGTGAAAATGGGGATGAGCAAAGTAAGGCAAAGCTGGAAAGGAGGAAGAAGGAGGGACACTCTTCAGAGCATGTGAAGTAATCAAAGTCTCATACACAGAAGTTGGCCATTTTGTTGCTGGATAAAACAACTTTGACTTAGACGAAGTGGCTGATCCATTTGTTCATTTACCAATATTTATAGGAGTCATCCATGTGGCAAGCAGTTGGCCATATTCACGTTTTAGAGAAGGGTACCAAGTAAGAGGTAAAATTTAATTGTACTGGGATGAAAGGAAAACTGAATTATGATATATTTTTAATAAGTACAGTTTGGCTCCATCCAGATACATAAAGTAACATCAACCTGCACTATGGCACATTTGAGATTGGATCTAAGAAACGCCTGTCTGCTTACAAATATGGTGTGACTGTGGTAGTCAGATTTTCTTCACTGTGACAAAAATGCCTGAGAAAACTGGCTCACAATTTCAGTCCACAATTGGCTAGCTCCATTGTTTTTAGGTTTGTGGCCAAGGCAGAGGAAAGCTGCTCATCTCTTGGCAACCAGGAAGCAGAGAGAAGAAAAGAAACCAGAGAGGAAGGGGCTGAGGACAAACATCCCTCAAAGCCACACCCCCAGTGATCAACTCTATCCAATTAGGTCCCATGCCCAAAATCCCACTGAGCTAGGAACTCATCAATGGATTAGTTCATCAATAGAGGCTACAGCTCTCATGATCCAATCACCTTCCAGAAATTCATCAGCTGACAACCAAGCCTTCAAAACAATGAGCCTTTTCAGGGACATTTGGAATAACAACAGTAAAAGTAACTACATTTATTTGAAAATAATCTAATTTCTTTGTGAATTAAACTCATCCACTGTTGTGGCTTGTGGCTAGATGTCCTCCCAAAGCCTCATGCAGTCTTTTTCAAAGGTAGCTAAATCTGGAATTTGTGATGCTAGGATTAAGGGCATGTGATTACTAAACCACTACATGTGAGTGATTGGTTTGGCACAGCCCTAATCCTGGTAGTCTGAATAAGATAAAAGGAGTAGAAAGACGCTGTTAAGGTCTCTTGTTGCCTTTGCTATCTTGTGCGCGCCATGTTTCTCCTCTCCGATCCCTGTTTACCATCCTTGCCTTGGAGTCAGCTAATTATGGACTGAAACCTCTACAAACTGTAAGGCAAATAAACCCCTTCCCCTCTAACTTTGGGTGTTGCGTATTTTGTCTCAGCAATGAGAGAAAAGTAACTAACACATCTACTTTATTCATACAGCAGGCTGTCTTCAAACATTTTCTGCACAGAAATAAAATCTTAGTGAACATATATGTTATTCAGATTTTCTCAATTTGTAGGCCATGTTTCATATTTTTATTTAAAGGAATCATTTTCTCTGTGATTACTCAGGCATAATCAGTCAGATGATCTTTCCCAAGAATTTGGAATTAGGATAGAAATGCTAGCCTGAGTGACTGGAGCTGACCTGAATAGAATGGAAGATTCAGAAGGGGCCACATGGAAGAAGTGGAGAAATTTCTGAAAAGAAAGAGTTCATGAGTAGGAGGTGAGGTGGGGGAACAGGAAACAGATTCTTCGAATTGTTCCTGAGTCCCCCTCTTCATGGGAGCTGAGATGACCCTTGTGGTGACAATTTGTATTTTTAGTTCCCAGCTTTTAACACCCCCCCCACCCCATTAAAAACCCCACCCATACACACACCCTGGCCTCCATGATCTTGGAAGATGGAAGTGCCTGCCTTGCTTCTGGAAGCTTCAGAACTAGGGCTTCTCTCTTCCCATTATTGTGCATAGTAGCCCAGGCTGTCAGATGGATGCTGTCCAAGACTTGAAGTAAGTCTTTGAGGAGCTTCACAAAGTCAGATGTTGCAACTGCAGTGGTAGCAAATGACCAGCCTTTTCCTGCTGGAGGTTGGAGGATGACAGCTGCTGCTTTTGCTATCTCAGCACCTTCCCAAGCCAAGGCCTCCAACTTCCCTGTCAGTGAACCTCCCAAGTTCTCCTAAAGTCCTCTCTTGCTTCTGATGCCCAGGCTTAATTCCTGTAGCTGGCAGCCTGAAACACCAACACACCCAGTGTTTGGGGTTTTTTTTGTTTGGTACCAGGGATCGAATTCTGGACCTTGCACTTGGGAGGCAGGCGATGGCACCACTGAGCTAAATCCCTGGCCCCTACATCCAGTGTTTTTATAGTGAGTTCTTATACATTTTGCTTAGGGTGATTGCTTATGATATCCAAGGTTTATTAACCAACTAGTGTCCTCTATTTCTGCCTACCTTCTTCTCTCCTTTGGAATCATGATTGGGATCAAACCAAGTGAAAAGAGGAGTGAAGAATATGAGGAGTGTTTTTAATGTAGCACAGAAAACTCCCCAGAAGGTAAAATCTAGGCCAGTATGTGTCTGTTGTCAGGGAGATTTTTGTGGGTTAAAGTCTATCCTTCAGCATGGGGCAGCATGGAGGAATATAACCACATATGGTTGCCACATATGGTTGCACAGATAGTGCACTGAACAATTACACAAGTATACTATAGCCCTGTATAAAGGTGGAAAGGGGGGGTGATCCCTTTCCTGCCCATTATAAGGGGTCAAGGCCAACACCCCATACCGAGAGTCTAACTAATTTATTCGCTCATAGTTATTGTATAATAAGAGCCTTCAGAGGCCAAAGGCGCTTACTTATACACCTATGCTCTGCACATGGGTTCTTCGGGACTGGCAGGATTGGAGACTATGACACGTATACCCACAGAGTCTGCAGTGGAAGAGTTGATGCCCCAGCTGTTGCCAGTAGAGCCCT